AGATCATCAAAAGATGATTAATTTGATATAATTATATATGTAAAACTGATACGAAATACAGAAGTTATACATTTATAATTCAATAGCTAATTGAAGGAAACAAATCAAAAGTTAGGGATATATTAGTCACTTAGTGCCTCAGTATGTAAAATTACGAAAAAATAAAGGGTTATATTAGTACAAGTGATATTAAAATACCTAAGTTAGCTAAATAATATTTATGGAATGTCCAAACCTAGATTATTAATTAGTAATATATCAATATTATTTGTCCAATCCTAATTACGAAGCATGATTCTTTGTCACGTAGGATTCCGAAGCACTAGAAGCAGCCACGTAGGCTCAGCGCATTCGAGAATAATATATAGGGAGGATATGGGGGATAATTTTAAAATTGGTCCTATAAGTTGGCCACAGTCCAAAAAACCACACCGATATTGACCACTTTCAAAATTGGTCCTATAATTTCAAAAATTAATCAAATTTGGTCATATTTAATCAAATTTGGTCCTTTTTAATCACATTTTAATCCATGTTTCGGATAAAAAAGGATCAAATTTGATTAAATTTTGAAATTATAGGACCAGTTTTGAAGTGGTCAATATCGGGGTGGTTTTTTAGACTGTGGCCAAATTATAGGACCAATTTTGAAATTATGCCCCAAATATTGATTACATTTTAAGCATAACATACTAGTAATTTATTCAAATTATATAGTTTAAATTATCACATATCATCATGCATAAAAAGGTTTAGAAGGAGAAAATCAGAAATAGGGATTGTTGAAAATAAAATCAATTACCAATCTTATATATGTGTGGTAGAAAATTGTGAATCAATTTATGTACTACATCTGGTGAGGGCATCATTGTAATTGTAAATCGCGTCCGCAATGTAGGATTCCATTTTCCTCCACCAAACTTATGTTTATTTACATAAAAAGGTTAAATAAAAATTCGAATTCGTTTTCCATTTTGTAAGGTGAGCAAAATCGAGCCAAACTCGAAGATCCAAATCGAACCATGTGATTCGGCTTGTTCGATTTAGTTCTTTTAGTGTGGTAAAATTTCTATTCGGTTTTTTTAATGTACTGTGTTGCGGTATGGGTTCGATTATTTTGCTCACAAGTTCGTTTTCAGTTTATCTCGGTGCTTTTTTTGCAAGAATCAAATCCAAACGCATAGAGAAACGAAAAAAAAAATCAGCCGAATCGTGCAATTTAGTGATGTCCCATTCTGTTATTTCTACTTCTTTTAAGTGTAAAAACTTCTCAATTCGGTTTTTAACTTGGGTTTCTCTTGTATTGCGGTGCATTTCAATTTAAAAATTTCACATTTTCAATTTATTTGATTTTCGTAAATGAAATGAGATAGAAGAATAGATCTTAATGTCATAATTACCGAGCCGTCCAGAATTCGTTGCCGTCAAGATGCCAAGACTGAATAGTTGACTCGGTGTTCTGAAACACGATTACGACAAAATCGTGAAATGTGGCAGCTATAACCGTCGTCCCAAGCACGGCGAGCCCGGCCGACGGCCCGTCCTTAGTCAGAGTTCATATTAATGAAGTACAGTCGGCCAGCTTCAGGGGTGTATCCGGGTTCACGTACAACATCTTGTTGACGGAGTACCTCCTCTTCCCGCCAAACCCCTCGGCCGAATTCTGGAGCACTATGGTCCTCACCACACAGACCGATAGTGGAACGAGCCCTGCGGGTTGAGGCGGGCTGCACTGACCGTCAGGTTCCACCAGATGGTCTGGGCCCGCTTCAGGGACCAGCGGACATGGTAAGTGGGCCCCACGGGAAGAGGCCCAAAGGCTGCGCTCCTCGAGCCCTGGTAGTGGAACAAGGTGGTTGCCGATAGGATGGGATCGTGAGCGCATGGAGGCCACAACGAAGGAGTCTCGGGCCTCAAACACCCCGTGGGCTGTGACAAGGAAGGAGCTCGACTGGCCCACGTGGAGGTCTAACGACTCGTACACTTCTTGGATCGTGTGGGACCCTTCGCAATCGACCAGTCGAAGAATGTGGCCTTGGATCTGGAAGTTGATTGAGGTTGTCATGCCCACGTCTCTGAATAGATACATTTGCCCTGAAATTCTTCGATGCGTATTAGTAATTAAGTTACACAAATTTTTACGAGAGTATAAAACTATCAGATATACGTTCGAAATTAATTCATTTAAAAGGTATAAGCTAGGTTATCAGTTAAGTTTACCAAACATAGAATTAAAAAACTAACCGCGCACGATCGGGAAGGAAGTGTAACGAGGCCTCCCATTTACGAGAATCGCATCAAGGCATTGAAAATGGTTTACCCGAGTCCAAAATTTGCTGCAACTCCTGCAAAATTAATGATAGACAAGTACTAATTAATTAAGCTTGTTGACCTCAATATACTACTAAACATTATTACATAACAAATGTATATACTACAAATTATATTAGAGTTTATACATGAGAATTAAACCAAAAAAGTTTAATTAAGAACTGATTAGAGTTTCGGCATAACGTACTAAGATAAATTTGAGCACAATTACAAGTTCTACAAGTGAGTGATCATGCATATAACCGAATTGGGTAGCTTAATTGGTTGGTAATTAAGAGGCAAATGAATGGCACTCGGAGTTCGATAAGAAATCTCAGCAGCTCATTAATTTATGTTCTTTTTCATTCAAGTATTTACATTTTATAAGAAGAGTTTTTGCATACGAATGTGACCATATGGGTTCTGCAAGTCTAGATTTCTTCAACTGG